ACTCTACCTAAGGAAACTAGAGTAAAAGGAGCAATTTGAGCCTAAACAAACAGAAATAAAGATATAATAAATGTGAAAGCAGTAGTCAATAAAATTTAAAATTTAAAACATAAAAATAGAGAAAATCAACAATAGAGAAAAATCAACAAAATCATATGTTGGTTCTTGGATAAGATCAGTTAAATTGATAAATCTCTAGCCAGGCTAACAAAATAAAAATAAAAGATGACAAAATCAATATTTAAATGAAAGAGGTGCATCACTATTTACCCCATGGACCTTAAAAGGAGATAATGTAGGGATATTATGACTGTTCTAGGACTGGGGGAAGATACATAAGATAAACAGGCAACATGTTATTTATATTGCCAGAAAGTAAAGAAGTATTAAAAGCAACAAGAATAACAACACACTGATGGGGATATGTCAAAGTGTTTTCAATGGCCAAAGCTAAAACAATTTGAGCAAGAAAGTAATGAATTAATTATATAATAATACCCCTCGCTTCCCTCACTTGAGTGAGGAGTTCACTCAACTTCCTTGAAGGGGGAGTATCTATGTAAATTATTTGAAATTCTCTTACATGGGGTAGTTGTCTCTTATCCCCCATTTATTTATTAATTCAATCACTTTTGCATATCATGATGGAACCATGGGTATTTATTTAATACAACATACCTGATCAGTACTCCACAAAATTGTCAATGCCAAAGAAAGTCTGAGAAAGTGTCACAGACAAGAGAATCCCAAAGAAACATGAGAACTAAATATAATGTAGTATTCTGAATGGAATACTGGCACAGAAAAAGAGTATTAGGTAAAAACTGAGAATGTGTGAATTATGTCTGGATGTTAGTTAATGATTATTCATGGACTTTAATATCAATATTGGTTCATTAACTATAACAATGTACCATTCAAATGTAAGATGTTAATAATAGAGAAATTAGGTATGAATATATGGAGACTCTTTGTACTATCTTCAATTTTTCTTTACGTCTAAAACTGTTCTAAAATGCAATGTCTATTTAAAATTTGAAGAAAAAAAAAACCAGAATCAGTGGGGAGGGGCAGTAAGACTGAAATGCAAAGAAATATGAGAAATGTTGAAGTAGGAAAAGTATGAGAAATCTTAAAAACAACTCTGGATGCAACCAGTTCCACTTATAGATCACTTGGATGTCATAAATAATTGCCTTTCCAATTGTGCAAAGCCTCATATTTTGCTTTTCTAGACAGAAAAATCTATATTCTTTTATCACATTCAATTCCTGAGTTCATTTCCTGCTCATAATTTCATGGTAAAGATAGCCAACAATTACCAATCTGCCCTATTAAATTTATCTTTTCTGATCTCCTCCCCTAAAGCATGGTTTCGTCCTCAACTAGGAGCAAAATTTTGATTTCTGGAGTAATTTGCCAATGTCTGGAGACCTTTTTTGGCTTCCACATCTGGAGGAAAGCTACTAGCATCCGGTGGGTAGAGGCCAAGCTTACGCTAAATATCCCATGATGTAAACAACATTCCCCAACAATAAAGAGTTACCCATCCCAAAATGTCAACAGTGCTGAGGTTGAGAAACTCTGCTCTAGATTCACAAGTCTGCCTCCCAAGTTACTTCAGGTCAGAGCTTTATCAAATATTTGCCATCAATAACATAGATCACCAATTTTCTAGTCTTCACTTCACCAAATAAAGAGATGTGACAAGTTTTGAGGTTTTGTTAGTGCTGCACTCTTATTTTAGGACCAAATTCTTTCTCAGTTTGGGTATGCTATGTTATGCTAAAATAACACAAAGCCAGAAAATAATTCTTTTAAGTTTCATTTTTGGTCAATTATATTACATATCCATTTTGTACAGTTTAGAGATGCTTCTCAGCTCAGTCCAAAGCTCATAAAAGCTCCATCAGAAAGAATATCATCGATTATGGTGGCAGGGAAAAAAGAGAGAGATGAAGGCCTTCCACCACTTATAAAATCCTGCAGCCCCAAATCACTGTCTCCCACAGCTTTTTGATAAGAACTAACCCTATGGTATCCACACAAGTATTAGAGGGGCAGGGACCTACTCTGTGTCTGGCCACTATGTGTCTAGAAGTAGATAATCATCAAATAGGATTAAACATATACCATTTTACATGGTTATTACCAGTATCAAGTAAATACTTTGTTTGCTTTTATATATAACATTATGCCTAAATGCTTTTAGATACTGTCACATAATACTCAGAATCATTATTTTTGTGTCAAGGATATTTGATAAAATGGACTGATACTACTTCAAGAGTCATTCCCTAGTGTGAGGTGTTTATATTGTTTCTACTTTTTGATGGTTTACATGATACTTGGATCTGTCAGACCAGCCAGGTTATGCTGCAGTGACAATGTCCTAATGTCAGTGAGTCAATGCAACAAAGGTTTACTTCCTTCTCATACTACAAAGTCAACATGGTGGTTAGGCAATGGTCTGTTCTCTACCTCTCTCTCTCTGAGACCCAGGCTAACTGAGCAAAATCCATCTTGAATATCTGGAAAATTGCTGATTGCCACTGAAGAGAGAGGCAGAGAGAGGGAGAATGAGAATGAACAAACTTTTGAAGATATAATACCAGCAATATAAACTCAAAACAAGAAATAACACATATCACTTCTGTTTACAACTGATTGGCCAGCTCTGATCACTTGATAAAATGCAAACAAAAGAGACTGGAAAGTACAATATTGCCATATGCCTAAGAGAGGAAAAGCTATAAGTATTTGGTGAACAGCAATCATGACTACAAACATTCTGTGACTTTGATGATCACCAACATTTTTTCTAGCATACTCTTCAATTCCACATGGAAATTAATATTTGAAACCACTGATAGAATATGAACTAAAATAACAAGAAAAAGCTGGGTATATTAGTTATCTATGTTGCATAAGTCACCCCAAAAGTTACCAGCTTAAAACAATAAAAATGTATTATCTCATATAATTTCTAGGGATCAGGAATATGAACAAGACTTAGCTGGGTGTTTCTTATTTTGAGTCTTTAATGAATCTGGACATACAGTCTCTAAAAACATAATTAGGGATGGAGGATCTATTCCAAGCACACTCATGCAGCTGATGACAAGAGACTCAGTTCCCTCCCACAGAGTTAGGCATAGGGCTGCTCTCCCCAGATCTCATCATGACTTGGCTTCTCCCAGAACTAGCAATACCAAAAAAAGAGAACAAAGGAGTACCCAAGATGGAAGCCAAAGTACCTTGTATATGTACATCTGAGAAATGACATATCACCACTTTTTCTGTATTCTCTTGGTCACAGGCCAACCATTGTAGAGTGTGGCTAGGAGAGGGAGACTACAAAGGTGTGAATGCAAGAAGGTGAAAATCACAGGTACCATCTTGGAGGCTGTCTTCTATAATCTATCCTCTAACTTTCAATGATTTATATCCATTCTACATACAAAATACATGAATACTTTCTCAAGACCCCTAAATATCTCAACCCATGACCTACGACAACCAGCCCACAGTCTAGAATCTCATCATCTAAATAAAATCTGAATGTGAATGAGATCCCTTAGGTGTTGTTCCTTATGTACAACTACTTGAGTGTGGTTCCTCTTGATCTCAATACTTAAAAATCAAAGAGAAAATTATATATCTCATAACACTCAACATGTTGACACCAGAATAGGTTAAACGCTATGGACATTCATCCTCAGAGATGGAAAACAATTGGCACACAATGGATACTGGTACAAAGCAGTTCTTAGATTCATCCAAGTAAATGTTGTAGGTTACTTACTTCATTTTAGAACTTAGTGCCATCTCTGCCTGGAAATGACTTAAACTTGTCTCTTGGCTCTACCACCAGCGTCCTTCTTCCACATGCGAATTCATTTTTTCTATTATATGTAGAAGTTAGCACATGTTTTTTGCTGAGGAGTTTTTATCAACTTGTTTTCTGTTTGTAAAGGTTTAAAAGTCCAAAAGCCTCTTTTCATTTTATACTGCCTCTTTCAATCCAAGATATAAGTATTTCAATTCTTTCAATCCAAGATATAAGTATTTCAATTCTTTCAATCCAAGAGAGCAATGTTTCTGCTGATACAATTTTACTAAAAGTATTGTGAATCTTCTACCAATGTAATGTAAGTTATTCCATTAGACAAAAGCCAGGCACAAAATCTATTTGAGATAGGCCCTTCTCTTCTCTGAGCTTCTGCTGAGTTGACTAAGGAACAATGATCTTAAGCCTCCTACAAGCTCTATTATGTGATTGAGAGAATCGGAGGAACACCCTTAATCATTTACAGGGCATTTTGTATGAGTCAGATCTCAAAAAGTGATTTTACAATTATACCTTTGTTCATTTCTAGACCATGCTTTCCTAAGAGTTCTCTTGATTTGATCTTTGCTTAGAAACCATTTAATTTTAGCTTTCTTTGCCATCTAAAAATGTTGGTAATCTTCAGCATCAGCAAGTGCCAGCTTTATTATTTAATGGTCCTTCCATTAGCTTACCCTTCTCTTCTTGCATTTTGCTATAATTAAGACATTTTTTCACCCTATAGCTATAAATTTCCTTAGCTACATTACCCAGTTCACTGGGCACAGTGTCTCATTTGTATGTTACTACAGGCAACAAAGTTGATAAACTTTATGCCACTACATGATAAGGATTTCCTTTCTTCCAATATCCAGTAATATTTTTCTCACTTTAAGACCTCACTAGCAGCCTCCTCAGAGTTCAAAATATTATAAACAGTGTATTCAAGGCATTTAATTCTTTAAATAACAGTCTTCTCAAAATCCTTAGAGTCCTCTCCAATTCCATTCACTGCCTGATTCCAAATCACTCACGTATTTTAGGTTTTTGTTATGGCAGTACCCAATTCCTGCTACCAAATCTACTTTGTGATTTATTGTTGTGCAAAAATTTCCCCTAAACTTAGTAGATTACAACCCCAAATACTTATTACCTTACATAGTGCTTGAGGTGCAGGAATTGAGGAGTACGCTTTCCCGGCCTGCTCTTAGGAAGTCAAGCTGTCAGCCAGGGATAGTCTCTAAAGATGTGATTGGTTATAAAGAATTCATTCTGAGCACACTCACTTGTTGGTATGCAGAAGTTGCAGTTCCTCACAGTGTGAGTCATTTCAGGAGGGTGTTCATAAGTTGGCTTTCTCTAGAATAAGTGCAGAGAGAAAGAAGAAAGTAATGATGTGTTTTACAACCTAATCTTGAAAGGGTATTCAACTGGTACACAGTAAAACCCTGGCACAATTCAGGCAGGAAGTATACAAAGAGATATAATGACAGAAGTTAGAATCATTGGGGGGTCATTTTTGGAGGCTAGCCACCTTAGCAACTTATGTGAATTCCCATGCAGGTAGAACAGTAGAGTTGTAAAGAGTAGTTCATTTTTTTTCCCTTCAGTATAAAGCAGGGTCATCAGCTGAGACTGAGCAGGGCAAGACAGTTACTAGAGTTCTGTGGGAAGGAGTGAATGTGAGATTCTCAGAGAATACGATGAAAACAGAGTAAGGATATATGGGATTGTTGTGCTATGCTAGGCAGCCACTTATTCTCCGCTACAAATTGAAAGTGTGACCAGTCCATATAATGTTCTATTGCTTGTTTGTAGGCTCAGTGTAGATGAGCTGTTGAGTTAAAATAAGGTGAGAGTTTTGCAACAATAGTGAAATGGATGAAAAAAAAAGTTGCAGGAAACAAAAGTGTCTGACAAGAAAATATTAAATGCAGTTAATGAAACTTTGTAATGGGTAAACTCAAGGGAGTAGAGCTCAGATCAGAGTAATGGTTAGAGAGTAAATTCTCTAATTTTACAATTTCCTTACTTGAAAGAAAAAGTTTGTAAGTCTTCAGAAATGTACAAATGCTTTTCCAAAGAAAGAATTGCTAATATGTGAGTCATTAGAAGGTATCTGCAATTATGCTTTGAGGAACTGTCTACAGGAATTGTTTTCTTAAGTAGAAGTAAATTTAAATAAAAATTCATCTAAAAAGTTATTAAAAAAAGAAGAATTAGGCCCCAAAATAACTGTCACACAAAATTGGCAAATGTGTACTTTATTTTATATATGCATACTGACCACAATTGCCTTCATATTCTACCTGTCACACAACTGACAGATTGGAAACAATAAAGATCTCATTATTTCCATGTAGTCTACTGTGTTATAAATATGTCACAACTTCAAACGACTTACCTTAATTTTTTTTAAGTCTATCTTTGACATTGACAAATGCATGTCTATTGGGAATGAAAAATTATTCCTCACTCAGGTTATAAATTGTGATACAATAAAATTACAGCCCTATCACTTAGTAAATTAAGTAGTCTAACCAAGCTTGAGAAGATCTTAGAGGAAAAGTAGATTTTCATATTATCATATCTCATATGTGAATGAGGAAGAGGTTATTACTTGTTTTCATATTGATGGAAATTATCTTTTCTTGACTGGCTTCAACACATGATAAAAATTTTTAACAAATACTTTAAATTTTAAAAGTAATTCAGTAGAAAAGAATCATGTTTAACCACACTTTTTTTTAAGTAACAATTTCTTATAAGTAGTTCTAGTGAGAATAGCAGATTTTAGTCTCCTGTTTGTTAAATATCTCAGCTTCCAAAAAAAAATTTTACTTTAGCTACTTAGAGGAAAAGCTGAATGCTAGATTCTAGGTCATTCTCTTTCCTGAAAATAATAACATTTTTTAAATTATAAAAACCATTTAGTAAATGAATAAAGAATTTATATCAGTAAAATATCTATTTTTAATATTCTATTTTATATTTTTTCTATTTAAAATAATGAGAGGGAGAAAAACAATGATTCCTTTAGATTCCTGTATTTACCATAATTGTATAGTTTTAATACAAATTGTTATAATTGGTGGGAGGATTCTGGTTAGACAAACTCTTTATTCAGATTTGTTTTTGTGTAGACGTGGGAGAGTATATAATAAACAGATCCATTTCCTCTTTTCTTCTTTTGTGATGTCAGCATTTAATATCATAAATTTCCCTTTAAATATCCTTTATTATGTATGCCACAAATCTTGATAAAAGTATTTTCATTATTACTCAGTATTAAATATTTCTAATTTTCATGTTTTATTTCATTTCATTCATAATATTTTATTTTCATTTTGACTCGGCACATATATTATAAAAAAGTGGGGATTTACCTTTCCAATCCTAAGGGAATTTTCAGAGTTTCCTTTATTATTTAATTGTAAGTTAATTTCATTGTGGCCAGCAAATTGGTCTCAATTTTTTTGAGAATTTTTTAGGATCCAATAAATAGTCAATTTTAAAACATGACACGTTTGTTTGGAAAGAATATGTATTCTCCAGTACTAGGTGTGGTGGTAGAGATGATAGATAGATAGATAGATAGATAGATAGATAGATAGATAGATAGATAGATAGATAAAGACAGACAGACAAAGATTTACATACACAGATGGTAGATCAATGTAAGTACAGAGACATACAGAGATATTGAGATAGATAAATGCATAATATGCATATACTGGACCAGTTATGTTTGCAGTTTTCTTAAATTATTTTTATATTCTTACAGATTTTGAGTTTGAATAATCTATAACCTAATGAGAAAAGTGTGTAAAAATTTCATCTAAAAAGTTGTTAATTTCTTCTATTTAACTCTGTTAATGTTTGTTTTATATATTTTCAGGTTATGTTATTAAGTACATACAAATTTATTGCTGTTACATATATTCCTGGAAATGTGAATCTTTCAAAAGCATGCACTGGATTTTTTAAAAAATTTCTAGCAATACTTCTTTTGTCAAAAAGTTTATAGATGTACAAAAGTCTTTTCCTTGTACTTGCTTAGCCATGCCTTTACTTTCAGGTTGTCTTTGTCTATTATCATACTCCAGGTATGATTTTAGTAAAGTGTGTAATATCACATTTTTTCTCATCTAATTTGGCAATGTTTATCTTCTATTGAATGGTTAATTTATTTATACGGAGTATTGATGGATATATTTGAATTCATTTCTAACATCTTTTGTACTTTTTATTTAATCTACTTTGTACATTTTTTTCTCTTCAATATACTTTATGCAGCTTTTTCTTTTCTCTGGATTTCTTTTATATTATTGAATTTATATTTCTTTTCCCTGAATCTGTGTTTTTCTTCCTTGCTTTATGTGACATTCCCTCATATAAATTCCCAATCTCATCCTTGCCCCTTAGAGAATAGCTCATTAAAATCAAGACTTTATTTCCTGGTCCCCAAGGAAGTGGCTCATTAAAACTATGGGGCTAGGCCATCAGAAATAAGCACCAAGAGGAAAGATGCCAAATCTAAAGACTTTTTAATTAAGGATCATCAGACTATCTTGTGTGTTTAATATCATTAAAGTACTTGACTACAGCAGCAAGAAGAAATAAACCCAGGCTCCATGCAATGAACATATTTCCCAGGAGAAAACAGTAATGCTTATAATTTACCCAAAGACCATGTTTGTTTTTTGCAACTCACTCACCTAGATTAGTTTCCTCTTCACAATGTCTACATAGTCTCTGTATGTGCTGGCCTGTATCCTGTGCTTCTTACTCTGGATTAATGTTTCCTTGTTGAACTGTTTAGTATCCTATCAAGAAAAGAGAAACCTCTCTAGATATTCCAAGCATGAGACACAATGCAGGGGACTGGATAAGGACCTGGAGGAGTAAAAGAAAAAAGGAGAAAATACATGAGGGACTGAAGGATCCTATGGAAAAAAAGGACCTAGAAGATGCTTCCTCCTTGGGCTGGAAGCTATGAGCCTGCATGTATCACAAAAATGCTAGAAGCAATCCCTTTGTTCTTCTGCATTTAAAACTGGACTGTGGCCACCTGAGAAGCCCTCCATCTTGTCATACCCCATCTTGTCAGTACTGCCCGGATCCTATGGAAGCATGGATCTATTTTCAGTCACCTGCTGCTGTTATTGCCGGCAATCACTGATAGGAGCAGAATATAAATAGCTCCTGTCTTCTTTCTACCTTTCAGTCTTTCTTCTATACTTTCTCACTGGCAAAGCTAACATGGAGTCAGGAACTCTGGAAAGTGTAATTTGCAGGCTTCCACCCCAGTGAAGAAGAAAGTACAGGTTTCTACTCAACTATCTGAAAGCAGAGCATTCCCAGGATAACTTTCATAAGCCAAAGTGGTGTAAAGTAAAGAAGCAATTACTTAAGGATACTTCTAGCTAATGGGTGCAAAAATAAATCCAGATAAAACACAGACACAGTCCAAAGTTACAGTGGCTTGATGCTGAGATGCTGAGTGAAGTTCCAGTGGAAGGAGCTTGGGGGTGCACCGGCTGCTCAGGGTGCAGGCTGCCTCTGTAACAGCTGGCTGCAAAATGAACAATGAGGACTATTTTTGCTATTTGCCTTTTTTGTAAAGTGAACATCCTCTTTGTTTGTTTGTTTGTTTTTTAACATTTTTATTGATTCATAATCATTTTACAGTGTTGTGTCAAATTCCAGTGTTCAGCCCAATTTTTCAGTCATACATGGACATATACACACTCATTGTCACATTTTTTTCTCTGTGATTTATCATAACATTTTGTGTATATTTCCCTGTGCTATACAGTGTAATCTTGTTTATCTATTCTACAATTTTGAAATCCCAGTCTATCCCTTCCCACCCTCTACCACGCCCCCCCCCGTAACCACAAGTCTGTATTCTCTGTCCATGAGTCTATTTCTGTCCTGTATTTATGCTTTGTTTTTGTTTGTTTGTTTGTTTTTGTTTTTTAGATTCCACATATGAGCGATCTCATATGAACATCCTCTTTGTATTTATTTCAGTTAGCAAAAACTAATGTAGGTACTATTGTAGGTCTTTTGCAAAAACAAAGCATAAAGCAAATTTTCAAAAAGTGGGAGATACCTGTGGAGGTGTGCCAATGTGAGGAGAGCCAACAGACATCAGATGTTACAGTCTACCCCTTTCCCGACTCAGCATCCATATACATTTCTCTACTTGCTAAAGACTGAATGTTTGTGTCCTCCCAAAATTCATACATTGAAACCTAATCTCCAATGTGTTGGTATTTGAAGGTGGGGTCTTTTGGAGGTGGCTAGGTTGTGACAGCAAAGCCCACATGAATGGGATTAGTGCCCTAATAAAAGAGACCCCAGAGAGCTCCCATGCCTCTTTCATCATGTGAGGGCACAGCAGAAAGACCGCCGTCTAAGAACCAGGAAGAGGGCCCCCACAAGACACTGAAACTTCCTATGCCTTAATTTTGTACGTCCCAAATTTGAGTAGTGTCTCCAGGACTGTGGCACATACATTTTCCAGTCCAGGGTATTCTGTTACAGCAGCCCAAACAGACCGAGACACTATTCAAATTTAAATTTCTGTTCAACAATAATAAAAATAATATCATTTTTCTACCTAGTAAAATGTAACAATAGATCGTACAAATGAAAATAAGCTCATCCTCGCCCAAAAAAGGGGAAACAAAATCTCATCAGTCACTGTATTCTACTCTGAAAGATGTTAGTTCCTCTTTTGCTTCACTTGGATATTCTAGAATTAAAGATGTCATTTTAAATTTATCTATCAAAAATGCACTTTACAGAAAATATTAGTAAAACAGGAGAATAATTAACATATTCAAATATGGAATAATAAGTAAGTACATATAATCCTAGTTTTATAATTTGTTGTGAGGTCATACATGGTATTTATAATTTCCATGAGATATTACAGGTTTGTTTTTTTTAACCTGAGCAAGAACTTCACATGGTCAAGGATCTTTACTAATGGAGTATCCCAATCCTCATTAAATCATTAATTGTCCTGTCTTACTGTGTTGCCTTTTTCTTCTATGACCTTTTAATAGATTATTTTTACTGTTTGTTGAATCAAAAAATATATATATATAAAGGTACTCATTTAATAAATGCACAGATCAAATTAATCCTTCTCAAAATTAAACACACCTGTGTAATCAACACAGATAAAAATCAACATTACCAGCAGTTTGGAAGCTCCTCTGATGCTGCCTTCCACTGATTCTCTTCCTTTCTGAGAGTACCAGTTATCTTGAGTTCAAACACCTTTTTACCTACTTTTAAACTTTATTTACTTTTACCTGCTTTAAAAACTTACATAAGTGGAATCAATATGATATAAATCTGTATTAGTCAGAGTTCTCCAGAGAAATTAGTAAGATAGATAGATAGATAGATAGATAGATAGATAGATAGATAGATAGATTTATGATGATGAATTGGCTTACATAATTATGGAGACAGAAGTCCCACAATCTGTCATCTTCAAGATAGAGACCCAGGAAAGTCGATAGTGTAATTTAGTCTGAGAATTAGGAAAGCCAATGATGTAGATTTCAGTTTGAGTCTGACGGCCTGAGAACCAGGAGCACCAAGAGGAGGAAGACTTCCATGTCCCCGCTGAAGCACTCAGGAAGGGGAGAATTCTTCCTTCCTCCACCTTTTGTTGTCCTCAGGCCTTCAGTGGATTGGACAATGCCCACCCACACTGGGAAGGACCACCTATTTATTGAATCCACCAATTCAAGCTCTAATCTCATCCACAACACCCTCACAGACACACCCAGAAATAATATTTAATCAGGGCACCCTGTGGCCAGTAAGGTTGACACATAAAATTAACCATCACAGTATTCTTCCTCAAAATTATGTTTATGAGATTTATCAGTATTATTCATGTCACTTCAGATTCTTCATTTTTCCTTTCCATTGTGATGGAAATTTGATTAAGTTCTAACTTTTGGGTATTAACAATAGTAGTTATATATACATTCTAGTATACTGCTGTTTTTTTTAATAGAGTATGGTCAATTTACAATTTATGGTTAATTCCTGGTGTACAGCATAGAGATTTATATATATATATCCCTTTTCATATGCTTTTTCATTATAGGCCATTATAAGGTATTGAATGTAGTTCCCTGTGCTATACAGTAGAATCTTGTTGTTTATCTATTTTATATATAGTAGTTAGTATCTACAAATTCTGAACTCCCAATTTATCCCTTCCTACTCTCTTCCCCCCAGTAAACATACGTTTGTTTTCTATGCTTATGAGTCTGTCTCAATTTTGTAAATAAGTTCATTTGTGTCCTTTTCTTCTTTTTTAGATTCCACATATGAGTGATATCATACGATATTTTTCTCTCTCTTTATGGTTTACTTCACTTAGTATGACGTTCTCCAGGTCCATCCATGTTGCTGCAAATGGCTAATTATTTTATTCTTTTCTATAGCTGAGTAGTATTCCATTATATAAAGATACCATAGCTGTTTTATCCAGGCATTCTGTTGATGGACATTTAGGTCGCTCCCATTTCTGGACTACTGTAAATAGTGTTGCTATGAACACTGAGGCGCATGTATCTTTTTGAATTAAGAGTTTTCTCCAGATATACACCCAGGAGTGGGACTCCGGATCATATGGTAAGTCTATTTTTAGTTTTTTAAGGAATCTCCATACTGTTTTCCATAGTGGCTACACCAAATTACATTTCCACCAACAGTGTAGGAGGGTTCCCTGTTCTCCACACCCTTTTCAGCATTTATCGTTTGTAGACTTTTTTTAATGAATGGCCATTCTGACCAGTGTGAGGTGATACTTCATTGTAGTTTTGATTTGCATTTCTCTTAAAATTAGCAATATGAGCATATTTTCATGTACCTATTGGCCATCTTCTTTGGAGAAATGCATGTTTAGGTTTTCTGCCAATTTTTTGATTGGGTTTTTTTTTGTTATCGACTTGTATGAGCTATTTATATATTCTGGAGATTAAGCCCTTGTCAGTCGCATCATTTGAAAGTATTTTCTCTCCTTCCATAGATTATCTTTTCATTTTATTTAGTATATTGCTTTTGATAAACATATATATTCATTTCAGTTGAGTGTGTAAACGAAGTGGACTTGCTAGATCCTGGAAAATACATTTGGTTTTAGCAGATATTGTCAAACCATTTAATCTTCCATTAACTTTTACTACTGGACAGGGAACACCAGAGACTGTCTTGAGTTCCAGGCAGAGCCCTGGAACTTGCATTGTGTAGCAGAAATCTTACTGAGTATAGACATACCTCAGAGATATTGCAGTTTGGATCCAGGCTGTCACAATAAACTGAATATGGAAATAAAGCTAGTCATACAAATTTTTTGTCTACCAGTGTATATAAAAGTTATGTTTACACTATATGATAGTCTATCAAGTGTTCAAATAATAGCATTATGTCTAAAAATACATATACTTTAACTAAAAAATACTTTATTGCTAAAAAATGCTAACCATCATCTAAACCTTTAGCAACTCATACTCTTTCTGCTGGTGAAGGCTTTTGCCTTGATGTTGATGGCTGCTGACTGATCAGGCTGGTAGTTGGTGAAGAGCTGGGGTAGCTGTAGCAATTTCTTAAAATAAGACAATAATCAGGTTTGCTACATCAACTAACTCTTACTTTCACAAATGATTTCTCAGTAGCATGCAATGCTGTTTGATAGCATGCTACTCACAGTAGAACTATTTCCAAAATTGGAGTCAGTCCTCTTAAATGCTGTCACTGCTTTATCAA